CATTTAGAAAAGCAATTTTAATATCCATTTGATATATTTCAAGATATCGAAAAAGGACAATAGCAAGTATCAACCTAATAGATGTTATTATCGTCACTGGAGAATATGTATCAAAGTAATCAAGGTCTTCTCTTTGTTTGTAACCTTTTATTACTAAGCTGGCTTTGTACTTTTCGATAGTTCCATCTGTTCTCATTTTCTTTTTGAAAATTTATTTATAGCCTAGTGGTTTGCTTCCTAGGAAAAGATCCACTAACTCCCATGTATGATTTTGCAGTATGGAATCTATATCACTTTTAATGGCCTCCTTCCATTGAGGACCTTCGGAGAAATTTACAGCCTCTTGATAACTTTGAGGTTCACTTTCTAGCATATAAGTCAGAAAATCAGGACCATACGATTTTTTTGTCCTTTCCCGTTTGCTACGTCTAACCGCAGTCTCCTCTTCTAGTTCTTCGTCATGACTATTTTCAGTCATAGTCGCATATGTTCGTTTGGAGGAGTTTGCTTCTTCTTTGGACTTGTAAGAAAATACATGTTCAAAAAATGAAGCATTTCTTGATTCCAATATCATATTTTTGTGTATGTCTGGAATTTTAGAATCATACACAAGAAACCGATAAGCACTACTATTTTGTACATAGCCAATGAAGATGCAATCTACTATTTTTGGCCATATCCTTACCTTCTTCGGTGTTGGAATGACCATTTTAGCAAGACACCCCCACACTCGTAAGTATTTATAGGAAGACTTTCTTCCTTTCTATAACTCATAATGAGTCTTTTCCATTTTCTTTCGGGGCACCTTATTTAAAAGGTAATTTGCTGATAACACAACTTCCCCCCCACATGTTCTGAGGTAACCCAGAACTTACTAGCATTGCATTCATCATTTCCTTTAAAGTGCGATTTTTTCGTTCAGCAACACCATTTTGTTGCGGTGAATAAGATGCGGTGATTTCATGTATGATTCCGCGTTCTGCACAGAATTCAGCAAACTGTGCTTCATACTCACCACTTCGATTGCTTCTTAACACCTTAATTTTCTTATTAAGTTGAGTTTCAACTTCATTCTTATAGAGAATAAATTTTTCTATAGCTTCATCTTTACTTTTTAACAAATACACATAACAGTATTTGGTGCTATCGTCGACAAAAGTAATGAAATACTTATTGCCACCTCTTGTCTGTACAAGTTTTAAGTCACATACATCACTGTGAATTAAATCAAGTGTTTCTGTGTTCCGTTCAATTGATTTAAATGATGACCTTGTCAATTTTGTCTCAACACAAGTTTCACACTTATGTTTTGAATCAATGTGGAACTCGGGTATGCAATTCAAGTTAACTAGTCTTCGTAAAGTATAATAGTTAACATGTCCTAGTCTACCATGCCACAAATTGAAAGACTCAAGCAAATAAGTAGAAGAGTTTCCTTTATTCATTTTTTGTTTAACGACCATTACATTGAATTTAAACATACCATCGAAAACATAACATTTTTCAACAAACATTCCACTTTTTAACAAAATAACTTTGTCTCACTCAAATACAATGCAAAAACCATGCTTATTCAAAAGCGATCCAGATACTAGGTTCTTGCGAATTTTCGGCATGTATAACACATTGTTAAGAGTCAGCTCTTTTCTCGAGGTCATCTTCAGAACCAACTTTCCTTGACCTTTGATATCAAAAGTTATTGAATTTTCCATAAACAACTTCTCCTCATTCTCAATTGCTTCGAACGCAGTAAACAGCTTCTTATCAGAGAACACATGCCTCATAGCACCGGTGTCAATTCACCACTCTTTAGGGTTTGAGCCCACCATATTCACTTCAGAAACGACGGCTAAGAGATTCAGCTCCAACACATCTTGTGCCATGTAATCAATTACATTTGCTTCTTTCTTCTTCTTTGGCAATCTGCACTCCTAAGACTTGTGGCCCACTTTGTCACAATTGAAGCATTTTCCTTGAAATTTCTTCTTAGAAATTCCACCTTTCAATCCTTGCTTTGTCCTTTTGCCACCAGATGGTCCAGACTTATTTTTGTAGTTCTTACTACTTTGACCAAACTCCACAACATTGACTTTAGCCGTACCATGATTGAACAATTTCTTTTCAGAGCTCTTGTTGTCTTCTTCAATTCGAAGTCTACCAATTAGTTCTTCGACGTTCATTTCCTTTGCTTGTGCTTCAAATAAATTTTGAAATCTTTCTATGTGGGGGGCAATTTTTCAATAATTGTAGCAACTTGAAAAGTTTCACTCAAAATCATTCCTTCAGCATAAATTTCGTGAAGAATCACTTAGAGTTCTTGCACTTGACTGATAACTGTTTTGGAGTTCACCATTTTGTAATCTAAGAATCTGCCGACAATGAACTTTTTAGCCCCGACATCATCAATTTTATATTTTAGGTCCAGAGACTCCCACAGTTCCTTAGCAGTTTTCATAGTACTATACACATTGTATAGCATGTCTGCTAAGCTGTTCATAATATAGTTTCGGCATAGAAAATTCGAATGGTTCCAAGCATCAAGTGCACTGATGGCTTGAACATCTCCCTCACCCTCATTGAGTTTTGGAGCGGTCTCAGTCAAGAATCTCATAAGATTCAAAGTGATCAGATAAAATGGCATTTTCTGCTGTTACCTTTTGAAATTCAAGCTATTGAATTTCTCCGATTTTTCTCCATGATTAATCGGAACACTAACGGTATAACTAGTTGTTGGAGTCACAATTTGACTCACAACATAACTTGGCAATCTAGCCACAGTCTGAGCCACAACAAAGCTTGGCCCTTGAGCTACAGCTGAGCCCATAGCCTAATTTCCAATAGGCATAATTTAGGTCACATCATGTTGGTCGATTCGTTTGCCATTTCTGAAATCAAACAAAAAAATTAATTTCTAAAATTAACAGTATAAGAAACCAATTTTCCTTTAGAAATCTGTTTTAAGTTTGTTGGAATATAATGGTGTTAATGAAATCGAATTATCACATGCCGTATGTGTAGTTTAAACACCAATTTTAAGCATACCGTATATGCATATACCATATATGGCGCTTACCATATTTGCAGGTAGTTTAACATATATGCAGCTTATCGTATTTGCAGGCACCTTACCGTATTTGCACCTTACCGTATAGGCTACCTACCGTATTTGCAAAAAGCTTATCGTATATGGTAGCTCATTGTATTTGGTAGCGAAACTCACCGTATTTGCACAAAAATTGCATAAAGTGTTTTTATTTATACACTAACTAAAATAACACAACATTTTTCACTTTACAAATAGAAATACCGTATATGTGAAATCTATTTTCACACATATAAAGAATTAAAAAAAATGTTTATTTTTTTTTTCAAAAATCTATTTCTAACATAAATTTAACAAACAATATATGAGAAGTGTAAATCGCTAAATAAATAAATTTTTAAGAATAAAATGCAAACTAGATAAATAGCAGATAAATTTTTAACCTGAGGCCTATGCGAACACATTTTCTTTAAAATATATTTGTCCCCTCACCGTAAGTGCTTGAGATTTAATCTGAGCGTATATTTCCCAGAATACAACAGCAAAATTCGTAAAATCTGAGCACCACAGAAATTACTCCAACGAACTAATACAGTGTCTAAATAATATCACAACGACCTTACTGGAAAAATATGCGTGTGCAACAAATCAAGACCTTACTGGACAAAGACATAGACAGAAATTGTAGGGACGTTTTTTCTGAACAGCGAGGAAGAAAACATTTTTCTTTTTTCATCTGTGTAAATTGCTGGAAACTTAAGATTTAATATAACATAAATCTGTCATTAACTCTATGGCAATTAACATTGGAGTCACTTTAATTTATGGGAGTTTTGGAAATTTCAAAAACTCAAAAGTCAGATTGAGAAAGCAAGAAAAAATTGCAAAACGTGAGCTCTCCGAAGGGGCCAAATTTTGCTTCGTTCGATCCGACATTGTGTACGCAGATCGCGCCCGCACACAAGCTCAAGGTCCGAAAGCTATTTCAATCCGAGATTTGCACCTCCTACGCGCGCGCGCACGTGGAGAGAGCCTCTATACTACACATGATTATACTCTTCCAATGTGCAACCATATTTAAAGTGGTTCTTGCTTTCTTCCTTTTCCTATGTGGGATAAAAGTTATTTTTCCACATAAAATCATCTTCCAATGGTCAATTTTGAACTCTAATTTCTCATTCACCCGAACTTCATTTTTAGCAAGTAAATATATGATTTTGATACTCTCACGGAGGAGAACACAAATCAACTTTGATATTTCAAATTGGACTAACGGGTCTCACCGAAAATCTTGCTGAAAGTGAGCTATTACTCATTTTTTCCAATAGAAAAAAACCCCAAACTCGACGTTGTCACCACCACCATGACCACCTCAAATCCATCATATCCTTCACCTCTCCCACACCACAACCATCAGCGGTGTGCACGGCAATCGTGTGCAGCAGTGGTTTTGCACACGATAGTCACTGCGTCGCGAGCAGCTGCCTCTGCAAGGTGGACGTTGCGCCGTTCGTATACATCAGTCACACTACAACCCTTGGAAGTGGGGTGGGGCTGATCACACGATGTCGCCAGTATAAAGAGTGAAAGAGAGAGGCAGTGAAATGAATTAGGATTTGAGGGTGAAATAGTGTTGGGATAGAAAGGGGTGTAAATGTGTAATGGAGTGGGGGTGTACATTAATTTTATTTTATAATAATATTATTAATATTTTTAAAATAAATTTTCATCTGATTTTTGAATTAAAAATCTTCATATCTTATTTTTGAACTTAAAAGCTACGAGGATGTAATTTCCACTTATCTTATAATAGTGGTTGACAGAGAAATAAAATATATAAAATTGCGCTCGATTACAAAAAAGGCCTTGGGTCCACGGGCCCAAAGTCAATTTATATCTTATTAACGTCACGTCCATAGAAATCTTAGCCGCGAAGGAAAATAAAGAAACATTACTCACCTGTAAACGCTATGTAGAAAACTACCAATAATCTTTCTATATATATAGAGGGAGAGACGTATCAAGTATAATTGTAATTGTGAATCAATTTCCAATTGGTTTCGTATAATAATTCCAGTATTCTGCCCTATTTTGGGACAAAACACAGATTGGAGTTGATATAAAATGGTCTCCTCAGCATAACTGTAGCACAAGAAAAGAGAAGACGTGGGCGGGTCTTTGGCCCATTCATGGTAACATTCTTTTCTTCTTCAATTATTGAAGTGAAAATACTGCAATTCGCGAGAGAGAGAGAGAGAGAGAGAGAGAGAGAGAGCTTTTATATAGGAGAGAGAGAGAGAGTCAGCAAAATCTTGAAATCTTTTATATAGGTGGGTTTTAGTCTGTGAAGATGATGATCAGTTATCCAGGCCTTTCCAAGCTCAAAACCAAGCAGGTATGTGTAGTTTCTTTACACCTTTATAACGTATAATTTATATGTATGTTTTCTCGTTGCTTTCCGTTTAGGAGAAAATTTGAATTGTTGGAGTGGGAAATTTTGGTTTGTCTTCAGGAATTTGTGCTTAAATTTAGATGTTCTAGAGGAAGTACATAAGGGTTCACTTCATCTTATTTTATGTATGATTGTTGATTCGAATTAGGATTTAGAATTGCAATTTGTGAATATTCAGTTTAATTTGGATTAATCGTTTAGTAACTCCGCCAATTTGAGCAATTCACGCAATGAAATAATTGCAATGACGTTTTTGTTTACGTTGTGCTGCCTGGCACTTCAAAGTTCCAAACTTCTGGTTTTTATGATAAAATGTTTCTCAAAATTATACTGGTAGAAGGACTGTATTTACTATCTCCGTTACTTAAAATGATTAATAATACCATAATTCAATCGATAGGTTGTGTATGAAAATGTACTTTTGGCGCGTGATTCTGGTACGCTTGAGCAGCTTAAGGAGTTGAGTTCCAAGCGCAAAGCAGTCGAGGAGTCCATTAATGAGAACAGCTTTATCACGGAGGCTGTTGCTCGGGAAATGTCCGGAGGACTGACATCCCGTTGTGAACAGGTAATAATACTACGAAAGTGGATGTTTCTAGAAAGGCCTTGTGAAAAATTATGGTTTTTGTATATATTTTTGTAACTACCTGCATTGTTAATATTGTTATAAGTCCAATAGATGATGGTCCACAATGTGAAATAATCGGACTCTGTCCCATGTCCGAAATACCATGGCGGAATATGTTAGATTTCATTCTGCGTTTTTCTCTCTGAAACTCTCCCAGGGCATCCAGAAATTGGAAAATTATTTACCTTTATTGGAAAACCTGGTTCACCATGTCGATTTGGTCGGCAACAACCGCTGCATTTCTTGCTGGATTTCGGACTTGAAAATAAAATGGAGTAGCACCTTTACTTCATCATCTATTTTTCACCTTAATGGTCCAAAGTTCTATCAGATTAATGATATACATTTTGAGCTCGGAATGACCCTTTTCCTTTATGGTGCAATGATTCGAGAACGGGCTCTACAAGTTCTATCAACTGGTAAGCGTAAATCTTGAGGATTTCCTTTTTCTTTGCGTAATTGGTAGTACCTCTGCTGATTCTTGTTTATCATCGTAGATTTGGCGCAATCTGCCACCCTCCTCAGAAAAGCTTCCGGCGTGTACCATTACTTAGCTCATGAGGTTCTTCCCCCTTTACAGACTGCATTTCCCCCAGAACGCCCCCCAGAAGCTACATCTGGTGTGTCTTCTGTTATGAGCCTTATTTGCTTGGCAGATGCCCAGGTTTGTGTATACCAAGTCTTAAATTTTTCAATAGAAGATCCTTTATGTATGTGAATCTTTCAAATTTACCATGTCACCTCTTCCAATATTAACAGCTTTCCACTCGTACACTGTTACTTACGCTAACTACGTGGTAATTTCAATGTCAGTGAGTTAATTTCATTCTTTTTGATGATTGAATGGCTTTTACAAACATTTTTAGGCTGTTACTGTAAGGAAGGCTGAAGAAAATGGTAATACTGGACGGCTTTTGGCAAAATTGCACTACGGTGTTAGAGAGTTTCTGGTTGAAGCCATTGGCGTCTTGCATCTTGCTACCAAAGAGTGCAAAGATATTTCATCCGCACTTTTGGTATGTTCATATTTTGAAGTAAAAGGATACTTGTTAACTTCTTGCTCAACCCCCCCCCCCCCCCCAAAAAAAAAAAAAAACCCCTAAATAAAGAAATACGGAAAAAGAAATGAAAAATAATCTATATGGATGTTTAGACGAGATATGTATGCTCGGGGAGCAGAAAATGAATATGGGGAGAAACCGTTGCTGTACATTCAATTGATTTAAAACATTAAGAACAAAAATTTAAAACAGTGCAGTGCTTGCGCCGGGCTTTCGGTCCTTGCAATCAAATGAGTTCACACATCTTCTAATCTGCTGAAAGAGAGAAGCAGTCAGATTTCGTTGGCATAACCATTGGTGATGATGCAAATTTTGATTTTTAAACTTCAGATTTTGACTGGATCTCCTTGAGTTTTCAAGCTTTGACACAAATCATTCGTGTTGTGTAATACTAGGAGAATTCTTAAACAGAAGTAACCTTTTTACAACTCAAGAAAAAAGCAAGGTTCTCCTATATCTCAAGTAAAGGAGATTAACCAGTAAAGAGTATTAGAAGATCAGAATGTGAATGCACATTGTATGAAATATTTCAATTTGATCAACTTCCTATACTGATTTTTGAGGACTCATCGATGTCAGCCTGTGATGCCATTGTGGAAAAAAACTAACTTATTTTCAACTTTGACAAACAAAAAATAATTCAGTTAAAAATTTATTTACTTTTAAATTAATATTTTAAGCTTAGCCATACATGCACTTTGTGATGGGCACAGATGATTATGTTTATGCACTAGCACAAGAAGATTTTTACCGTGAATTGGATTCCCCAGGTTCATAGTTTCCGTTTGACCAGCATCATTAGCTTTTCTTGAGAAGAAGTTTCTTTTAATTGCAAACTAATGTCACTTTGGTTAACCCTCTGGTCTATGCAGGAGTTTATTTCAAGCTGCAAAATATTACATGAAATGAAAAGTTTCAAGTACCTCGCAGAAGGCTTAAGAAGTGATGGTCAAATTGGAACCGCAATTGGAGTTCTTCAACGAGCATTAGCAAATGCAAAGACTGTGCCAAGAGAAGAGTCGTGGCGATTAGTATCTAATCAGGTAATAGATGACTTGACTCAGCTGCTCCGAAAGTATGAGCATGAGAACGATTTCGTTTGGCACGAGAAGGTACCGAAAATCGATGAGTTGCCTTTCCCTCAAGCTGTGAACGTTGTTAGTTTCATACCTTACCAACCCCAAATATGGGAAAGAATGCTTGTCTTCAAAATATAAATGAATATATCTGTACAGCACCGAGTTCCATTTTTTTTTTCATGCGGTCAGGTGGGGTTGGAATCGTTGGTATCAAGCTTTCCATGCTTCTTTCCTGTATAAGAGAGTGGAGTGATGTGATTGAGTTTATGATACCGAGGTTTGATGGTGTTGATATTGAAATTGTAAGTGACACTATATGGTCCGAAACACTTTTTTCCTCCTGGTTTGATTCATTGTGAGTAATCACTGTGCAATGTAAATGCAAATCCAAATGAAAGGACAAAATTTTTGGTACGCGATGAATAGGAGTATACGAAAAAGATTAAAAAAGAAAGATAAGGGGGGTTAAAATTGTCTATTATGTTGTTCAATATTTTATGTAAGCGTGTCATGTGGTCATATGGGAGCATAGAGAAAATATGTTTAATGTCATTTATTAGTTTTAAATATATAATTTAAAGACGAGAGCACAAAAAGAAAAAATATTTATAATATTTGGTAATAATTGGGTAAATTTTATATATGGTCACTGAAGTTACTGCAAAATTTTAATTGAATGACAAATTTTAATATATTTTAATTAGATCATTGAACTTTATTTTAATTTTGAATTTCACCATTTTGTCACTTCCCCGAAATCGAAAATATTGCTTAATTAGCAGCCATTTCACAATGGTTGTTCTGCACAATCATTGTATGGCATGTTAACTCATTACAATTAAAGAAAAATATTTAAAAAAAAAATAAAAATTCACTTTTAAATTTCTAATATAAAGACATTGAAGAATCCCTTTTAACTTTTTAACATTTGAAAGTTTAGTGACACGATTTAAGTTTCCAGAAAGTCCCATGAGGTAGCCCTCATGAATATAGTGCAGTGGTAAAGCAAGAGGGTTCTCTACGAAATATCGAATGTTCGAATCTCCGTAACAACTGAAAGGTGACATTTATGTTGGGAGACATATGTTTTGTGAGGCAAAGTTATGGTGCGCTTTGTCGTCCTTTTAGGGTTCCTGTCCACATATCATAAATGGAGGTTTACAAAGAGAAGAATCGCATCCCAAATGTCCGATCCAAGTAGGTATAAATTGTGACTGCATTCAAATGTACTTGGGGGAAGGCCGCCACTTTTCATAATTAATTAGAGGAAGCTCGAACACCTAAATCACAAAAAAAAATAAAAAATAAAAAATAAAATAATAATAATAATAATATTAAATGTGCATGAGGCAACATCAAAACCATTAAAATAATCTTTTTTTGAAAAATCGTTAATCGCTTGCAAAAGAATATTCAAAACTGACCTAGCTCCAACTTTGCCCTGTTTAGTCCCCCATTAAATTCCATTCGATTACATTTCATTTTTCTCTCTACTATTTTCAACCACTCATTTTTTCATAAAATAATATTAAACATAAATAAAAAAATTCCTTATTTTCCAATCACATATTTTTTGAAAAATCACTATTTCACCCATTTTTATTTTCCAAAAATGGAGGCCAAACGGGGGCGGAACATTAGATATGAACCGAAAAAATCCCTACACTAACAAAACCTGAGTGCATATGGCTTTTCAATGCAATTCTTTGTCATATTTAACATGTAAACCATGTACAAGAAAACCCCTCTCCCTGATGCCCTATTCTCAAGAACCCGTTTTACCGTACCTCAAAAAGACTCCCATCTTTTGGTCCCGTTTGGTACACATTAATGTAAAAATAAGAATGAAAAATATAGTCGTTACGGACCCCATACAAGAGATAGAAAGTCAAATATGGTGGCTTGATGTGATAAATAACAGTCATATTTTTCATTTTTATAGGCAAATAATGGGAAACAAACGGGGTCATCTATTTTAGCACATTGAAGCTTTCAGCACCCAGCTTTTTTTATTAAGCTGATGCTGTTGTGAATTAAAATGGGTCAATTATTTAGCTTTGAATTCTTGCAGGTCAAGCAAGGATGTATCGACCGTAGTGTCTGAAGAAATGGTATTTGCCGAGGGATATAATCCCACGTCGAATAAAAATGAAAATGTAAATCGATTTATAAGATTTTAGACTACTTCTCGCAAAGAGGTTGACCTTTTAAAATAGAACTCCAAAACTTAACATGAAATCAGAGCCCATTAAACTGTACGAGCAATTCGATCCGATTAAGCGCACAGATTTTGGTTCAAACAAGCCACCATTTCACTATGAAACATTGTTTGTTGTTTTTTCTCAGGAGAATAAGGCTTCAAATTGAGTTTCAATTTTTAAAGTGGATTGGTAAGTTAACTTCTCAGATCTTTTTATTTTATTTTTGCCCTTTCCAATTCAATTAATAGGGAAAATTGCTGATATTCTTTTGATGATATATAGTATTGAACACATCTTGACGATCTTCCTGAAACTGATTTGTTGAGGCTTGAACCCGTGACCTATCACTTACTAATTAGTGCTTCCAAATTCCTGAAGTCATGTTTTATAAAATGACAACTTTGTTAGTGGGTGCTTTTATCTGGATCCTAACGCGTGGTGTTATTCTGGCCGTTTGATCTGCTTCTAGATGTTTCTAGCTAATTAAGTCCATTGTGACCCCTCGTCTGGCATATTTGGAAGAGATTTTTCTTGGGTTTTGATTTAGTCTCTTCGGGCTCTCTTTCTCTGTGAAGAACTCCTTCATCTTTGTGATTAGGGTTCAATTTCTTTGAGTATTTAAACATATAAACTAGTGAAACCCCTTCTAATACCATAGCTCTTGTAGTGGTGTACTGCTGTGAGTTGGTTTGTAAGAATCTGAGTGATTCTTGTGAGAGTAGTTCGGGTTTTCTGGAGATTTTAAGGTCTAAGTCGATTCCTTTTTGGATTCGTAATTTTCTTTGTGGATCTTGTTGAGATAAAGTCTTTGTGACTTTGTTCTTGTACTTTTCTTATAACAGTCGTGTATTCTTGTTGTCGATTTTTGGCTATTTTAGTGCAATCGAGCTTTATCCATTTTAATGGATGCTCAACGGGGGATTAGGCGTTAATAGTGGTCGTCGAACCTCTGGGATTTCGGCCGAAAAATTCTCTGAGTTGAATTTTTACGTTTCTACATTTTTCTTTACTGCCATTGTATTTGTAGTTTTGTGAATCATGGTTAATTCTTGAATGCTCCTCGACTTTTCAGTGGTATCAGAGCAATCTGAAATAATGAGGACACCTGATTTCTTTTTTTTTTGGACTGGATTCTATACCTCACGTGCTTGGTCATTGTCCAAAGACTCGAGAAGTCTTGAGAATCTGAGATACCAATACATTAAGGAGTACAATTGGATGAATCTTGCTAGAGAAGTTAGTTGAGGCATAGGAATTGAAATCTTTGTTTCTTAAGTCTTATGCCATTCATAACTAGTGTTGTGTGTGTTCACTGCCTAAAGAATCTTGTATAAGTGCATTAGTGATTAGCCTTAATCTCTCGTCTGCCTGCAGTAATCTTAATGCCTATTTTTGTGTGTTCTTGAATCAAACTTGTTCACTGTGTATTATCTTAGTTTATCTTGTAATAGCCACTACTAAATTTGAAGTGAACATGTATGATGGGAGGGGGACTTCAATACGTGAAGCCAAAAAATAAGGGCTATTTTGATGCAATTGAAATGTGCTAAAGCTTTAGATAACTCTTGGCCTGCTGAAATGTTTGTTGCTAAAAGATCTGAGTAAGAAGAAATAGCATGGAGTACTATTTTCTTGTACCTTTCAGACAATGTGATCAGGTGTATAGGTGAGACTAAAACTGTTGAAGAATTGTGAACCAAACTGAAAGCTCAATATGAGCCAAAAACTGTTCCAAACAAATGCTTTTTGCTAAAACAATTCTTTTCTTTCAAAATGGACCCTTCGATTGACTTGGATGAAAACTTGGACAGATTTACAAAATTAACTCAGGACCTTGCCAACTGTGATAAGAAATGATCAGAAAATCGGCTGACTGTGGTACTGTTAAACTCCATTAGTGATAGGCAAAAAGACCTAAAGAATGCCTTAGAATATAAAATAGATAAGCTTACCACAGATATCATTATAAAATGTCTTAAGAAATAGGGATGTTGAATTAAAATCAGATTCTATCAACCATCAAAGTGGAGAAAATCTTTTGATAAAAAGCAAAAATATTGGTAATCTAATTTTCATTCAAAATTTCAAAATGATCCTAAGAAAAGGAACAATGACAAAATGAAAGCTAAATTAAGACAAAAGGAAGAAATGTTATTATTGTCGTAAGTTGGGTCACTTTACAAAAAAATTTTACAAAAAGCAAAATGATTTGAAAGGAAAGAAGTTAAACCAGGGTAATGCTGTTTTGTTCTATGATAAGCAACAATTTGATAATGGCCTTGTTCTAATAAATGTTGAAAAGAACCAGAATTTCAGGCTGCTCTTTCCACATGTGCCTTAATAAAAAACTATTTTTGGATTTTGAACAAACAAAAGGAGGCCAAGTTATCATGGGAAATAACATGATCTGCAAAGTGAAAGGACTGGAACCATAAAATTTCTTTTGGAAAATGACAGAATTTTATTATTAAAAGGTGCCAGATTTGTTCCTAAATTAGAAGAAACCTTGTGTCTCTAGGAATGTTGGATAACATGGAGTTTGACATAAAATTGGATCAAGGACACATAAAAATCTTTAGGGGTGGTGATTTTATCACTTCTATTCCAAAGAGACATGGTTTAAACTTTCTAAATGCAAAACCTTTGATGGGTCTTTTAGTAGCAGTTTTAGATGATAAATTTAATCTTGCAAAATTATGGTATTGTAGACTTGGTCACATTGGGGTGAAAGGTTAAAAGCTTTACAAAATAAATGTGTATTTGAAAAATCAAATATTGGTGAATTGTCTATATGTGAACAATGTTTGATTGGAAAGCAAGTTAAATTACCTTTTCCCATTAGTACTCATAAATCAAAACAAATTTTAGATTACTTACATACTGATTTGTGGGGTCCTGCATCTATCCCTACATTGTCTGGTTACAAGTATTACTTATTGATAATTGATGATTTCTCAAGAAAAATGTGGGTATCTCTTTTGAAAACTAAAAATGAAACATTTGCCACAATTAAAGATTGAAAAATTCAATTTGAAAATCAAAACTTTGAGAACAGACAATGGGCTAGAATTTTGCAACTATGAGTTTAATTATTTTTGCAAGTTGCATTGCATTTTTTAAGACATTGAACTATGATTTACACACCCCAACAA